AACAAAACATCCGGAAACATCCGGAAACACTGGTCCTGACGGGAAGCTTACAGCCAGCAGTCTCTGCAGGACAGAAGAGTCCAGCAGGGACAGAGAGAAACCACTGTGATCCACCGATGGAAAACAACCAAAATACAAACACTAGGCAGAAAGTAAAGTAATATAAAAATAATAATCTGAGACCAAACAATACAACATATAATTAGACCTAACCAAACTTGGACCACCAGCGCCACCTATGGCCACAAAAGACTTTCAGTTTTGCACCCTTTGGGCTGCAGGACTGCAGGTTTATCAACTGAAGACAACAGAGATATGTTATCCACGAGAAGCTCAGTTCCTGCTGCTTTCAACCAGGTGGGGGCAGTCATGCAGTCAGTTCTTTACAAGCTTTAATATACAAAGATTGTCTTGTCTTGGCTAGCTGTTGCAAAAAGTACGGAGAAGTTTTTAAAACGAAAAAATGAAGATAAAGGTCATCGTCACCCCCCAAAAAGATAAATCTTTTTGCTTTTTAAACTGTAGGTGGATTGGTGGATGGGTGAGGTCAATTAAACATATACAGTGTTATTCTATGGGTTACTTTGTACTGTAACGATTGACTGTTGAAGAAGCAGCAGGAACAAGAAGAGAAAAAAGAAGAGCGGCAAGAAGTAAAGAAGAACTCTGTGTACACACAACACTGTCACTGTAGTACTTTTACTATTGCTTTTTACATCACAACATTTCATCAGCATCCTTACAACAACTGTGTAATGTGTGATCTCGTTGATGTAGTTCGTTTCTGTGAATTCTTACACAGCGGCAGAGTCAGGGTAATTATTTATTGGAAGAGCTGAGGATAACAAGTCTGGAAAGTTCCCCAGGAAACGTACGAGCCTGAAGGGAGTTAAGACAAAGTTGGAGAAGGGCCGACTCAGCCAAATGTACAGAAGTGAGGCTGTAGCTCGGTGGAGTGAAACTTGGTTTAATCAAATGTGGGTCAATAAAATTTAACAAGCACCTGCTGTAGAAGTCTATTCCAAATCCCAAAAGATTTGAGGACGGGCACTGAGTCTGGAAGTGGATAATGACGATCACCGCGGTCACAGGGATGGGCTTATTGCCTTTTGTATTTATTTGCACCCCAGCTGATTCTAAGTCCCTGAAAACTCTAAGATATTTTCCAGAGTGAAATAAAAGTCATGGTAACAAAGCTGTGTCTTGTCTCTAAAAACCAAGATGACTAACATGAAGCAGGAAAAAAAGGCCTTTGGCGTCTGATGGAATCCTAAGCAACCACTCAGTTAGCTCTGCATCGAGTCAACATTTGTGGACAAGTCTGCCTTTAGCATTGCTGATTAGCACTGAACTGTCGTCTTGGTAATACTACAGGAAACCAATATTGTGCTGTTGGTTTCCTGAGCCTGCTGAGAGTGGACACAGAGCAGGACGGGGATCATGAACAGACGGCAGCGCACAGAGAGAACATCCTGGATTAACAAGAAAAACAAAACACAGAACGACACATATGTACGACAGAACTGTCGTATATTACATTATCAAATATGTGAAGCCAGTAGCGCTTTGGCCCAGAGGCCACGTCTCTGTCATTGATGTGGAACCCCAGGGGTAAGATCTAATCGCGGTCAGGGCGGTTGGTACCTTCCAGTGGACTCACCACCCACAGGAAGGTTCAGGGGGGTTGTTACGGTGCAGTGTGATCTGGGTGGCGGTCATGGAGACTGCTGCCCCCGTGACCTGGTAACGGATAAGTGAATGAAAATGGATGGATGGAATATTTGAAGCCAAGTCTTGACCTCTTTGTTTAAAGAACGATGATCAGTTTTGTTAATTTATAGTTTAATTGAAACTAATTAATTATAAAAAAAAATTACAAACCTTTTCGGATACAAAAAAATAGCCATCTAAGTTGTTAAAAAAATTCTCCTTTTGAAATGTTAAAATAAGTGTTATAGTTTATGAAGCACAAAATTTAGTAATAAAAAAATCTGTCACACATGATGTCCAATCACATGTATTGTTTCAAATATAGAAATTACTCATATTGAAATGAGTGTTATACAGACATGTATTGTTTCAAATATAGAAATTACATTGAAATGAGTGTTAGAAAGAATAATAAATATATATATATAAGGTATTGTAATATTTTCCATAGACCTGTACTAATTTAGATTTATTTATGCAATTAATTTCCCCCTAGTGGTCACTCCCTGCTATTACTTACAACTTTTAAAGTTTACGTTTCTGGTCTGGAAGTCTTTAATCTGTCCTACACCTGGAACTAAGAAACTATGCTGCAAAGTTACTCAAACCTTTAACAGATTAACTGCTCACTTAATCATATGTTTCTGATGGCCTTTCTTATTATTAGATAAAAATTACCAGACAGTTTCCACCTTTTTAGGGTTGCGGTGGAACGGACATAAATCTTAAAGGTGATTGGTTGAGGGGAGGACACACCCTGGGCCGCCTATAGAAACAACTGCCACATTAATAAAGCCATTTCAGAGTGTCCATTCAACCTAACTCTGTACACTAAGACCAGCAGGACTCAAACTGGTGATCTATTTGGTGTAAGGCAACATGACTAACCACTCTTCCACTGTGTCTCCCCTGTAGCTCCAGTAATATTTAATATAAGTAAACTTGACACTAAATCAAGTTAAAACAAAACAAAAACAGTTGGACCACCAGGAAAGTGCAAACATAAGGGGTTTTAATAAATAAACAGCTAAAATCTGGGATCTTATTGGTTTAAGAACATGTTAAGACTCCTGAGGCCAACAGGCTGCTGAATCTCAGATGGTTGTCAAGGCAACCCACAGGAGAGAAGTTTGGGTTAAGGCTTATCAGGGGCGCAGTGCAGCGGTTTCTCCTCCCCTGTGGCTCGGCCCTCCTTTTCTCCTCTCTCTCTCTCTCTCTCTCTCTCTCTGTGTGACTGGGGCAGTTGGTGGGAGGCTGTGGGTGTTGTGTAGCTTAGCAACTCCCCTGGTGGACAGCAATTGATATGCAGCTTTGTTCAAGTGTCTCTTTTTCTAAGCCAGAGAGGGGGACGTCTGAACAATGCTGGCCTTATTGAAGCTTCCCTCCTCCTCCTCTTTGCCCAGGCACAGCCAGACGTGGGAGTACAAATACTTCAGCTAACAGAACCCCTGTCTCCACTTACAGCACATGTTAGTGGGACCACAGGCATGCAACACATGCCTGGTTTGGGCCTGTCATCAGGCTACAGGTGTCACACAACATCTTATGAATATTACAAGTGTTTGAAGAGTTTGATTCAGTAGAAAAAGAAATTCCCCACCTCTGGGGATAGAAGCTGTTTTGTGAATTAACTACAAGTTCTTGGACCTGTGGGAAAAAGAGAGATGCTGCCCAGAACAAACCAACTCTGGTCTTTGAACATTAAAAATAAATGACCTTAGTCTGATTGGTAGAGTAGAAAGTTATACAGGAATCTGAAGCCATCACTCTGGGTTGGGTCGCCGATACAGGAACGCAGTAAAGGGCGTCAGCGTTACTCAACAACGTGTGAAACATAACAGACGCAAATCGCCCGTATCGTACCACTTGATCATTTTCATATTGTCACTTCATCCTCACTTGTCTTGCTAACAAGCTAAATACTGCGACAAAATTATGGTATGCTGCCAAGCAGGACAATCTGCTACTCCAGTGCTAACAGATGCTAACGTTTCAAAAGAAACACAGTCAGTAACATAGTTTCACAACTCACCACAGAGTCCCACCTCCGGACTATCTTTGGTCCAATTTGTTCTGGTCCAATAAAACACCGTTGCTGGCAAACATCTCTGCTAGATTTCAGGGAGGTGATGTTGAGAACTTCCCTCACGCTGCTTGATAAAAAAAAAAAATCACGTACTGTCACACCTTTTACATTGAGTGTGTATGTGGAGTTGCCGCTCAATTCGTGCTTATCACGTTTGGTGTGAACGCCACGTTACACAAAGTTTTCGTTTCTGCCACAGTGGTGACTAGGAGGCAGGTGTGACGTGAAGGCAGTGCACCATCAGATGACAGAATGTCACACACCTACTCAATCAGCTGGCCACACCTGGAGCACATCA